GATTCTTTGACTGCTGGTACTGCGGGTACATCCACATTCCCCAGGCAGAGAAATAGATGGCAGTGGTATATTGGATTACCAGCTACCGTCTTTCTTGGTATCCTAGCTGTCCTTCCTTGTCATCCATATTTGCCCGGGAGTCCCAGGTCTCAGCAACTTGTCTAACCACTACTGGAAGTGATGGTAGAACTGAATCAGTCCACACTGCATACTGAGCTTCCAGACCTACTCTTCTGAGATCAGCAGAAAGAGGATCTCCTTGAGAGAAAAATACTGGCCTGTCCCTGTGCCTGTGTGGATCCCGTCTGTGAATATGCACGATGAAGTTGTCACAGACAGGAAGTTTAAAGGGCAACAATATTTTGTTTTATTTTTTCTTTTTCCTCTAGAGAGCTTAGTGTACACTTAGTTCAGAAATTTCTATAAAGTAAGTGCTCAAATTGTAAGGAAAAAAAGAACCAAGGGAAAGTTCTCTAATGGGTTTAATTTGAAATGACTTAAAGTTATTTATTATGATGATATTGCCCATGAACCTTTTCCTTTCCAGAAGTATTTCGTTTCCCAGGTTGTGCTTGGGTTTTCAAGTCCGCATCTTCATGTTTGAGTAGATGCTGTTATTTGTGTGAAGGCGATATCAGTTACAAAAGGATACACAATGGGTTGACTGAATAGGAAACTTGGCTCATTTTTGTAAACACTGGGTTCCAATTTCATAAGCACCATGGAGCAGCATGATCTCCCATGATCATGATGTATATGTCTTATCTTATATCTGTGGTTTCAGATTGTGACAGTGAGTCACATAGCAACATGTTCCTACAAGTAGTGTTCAGTAAGAAATAAAATTTAAATATATGATTTGGTGCAAGGCAAAAGAGAGATAGAGAGAGAAGTGAGATAAATCCCTAAGTGAGAAAAGAAACATTCATGCTTACAGAATGAGAATTCGAAGCATGTATAAACACATGCTTCCTTTGAAGGAGGTCATGGCGACTATGGCAAAACAGGGTCAGCAAGGGATGAGGCTTATTTAGTTCACTTTTTTTCCATAGAGGTTTGGCAGGATCAGAACCAAAACGAACATATAGAAGTGACCCTCTTAAAGGAAAAATGCCCTTGTCAAGTACTCCACCAGGATGACTCAGCCCCTTGCTGTCGCAAGACTGCGGCGGGCACACTGCAGACAAAGCCTCGGAATCTTTTTGGTGGGTTTGTTTTCCCAGGGTGAGTCTGTTCCAATTTTAGAAGCATTATAGTGCTGTTTAGAGTCTGGACTCAGACTGTGGAAGAAAGACCAGAACAGAGCAACAGAGCACACAGCTCAGAGGAAGGCAAGGGCAGTCCTAAGGGAAGGACTGGACTGAGGCCATTGTGAAATTTTGGTTTCTTTCCTTCTGTCTGTCTGTCTGTCTGTCTCTCTCTGTGTGTGTGTGTGTGTGTGTGTGTGTGCACATTCACACATGTGTATGTGTATGCATGCACATGGAAGGCCTAAGCTGTTGGGAATAGCTTTTGATTTTTCTTCTACCTCATTTATTGAGGCAAGGTGTCCCAGAGAGCTCACTGACATGGCTAGTCTTGCTAACCAGCTGGCTCTGGGGACCCTCCGTCTCCTATATCAAAGGCTGGAACAATAGGCAGGTGGTATGTTCAATCAGCCTTTATGTGAGTGCTGGGATCTAAACTCTGGTCCTCATACTTTTATGATAAGTGCTTTAACCATTAAGCAATCTCCCTAGTCCCCAAACTCAGGGTTTCTAAGTGCGACTGTGCACATGTATTTGCTTGTATGTTGGAATATATATATATATATACATATATACATACATATATATATATATATATATATATATATATATATATGTATGTATGTATGAATGTTCGTGCACACACATGCTTACGAGGAGGGTGACTTCAGAATAAAATCCTACTTTCAGGCTTAACCACAGCCAATTACAAAGGCTGTTAGTGGCAAACGTTGTGGGGGAAATCCACCCCCACACTAGACTGGATGCATAGCTAGTCTCCTGCAGACCTGGAAGGAGGTTCAGTCATGGACTACATTGTATCTGGATGCGCCCTGACTGCACTGAAGGCCAGCACACTCACCAGGAAGTGTCCTGGTGGGAAGAAGTGCCTTTGGCAGAAGCATTTATTGTTCTGGTGCCTCAGCATGGGCCAGTTTGTGGGGATGGCATTGCTGACAGGCATATGAATTAGCTTGATTTAATCACACTGTACGATCGCACATACACCAAAATATCAGATTGTTCCCACAGAATATGCACAATTACTTGCCAATCAAAAATATTTGGAAAAAAAACCCTTTCTCTATTCTGATTGGATGTTTTTCTTTCCTTGTCCACCCCCTTCCTCCTCCCAGCAGTACCCTGGGGCTGTAAAACAGTAGGAGTCATGTGTCTGGGGGCTCATTCCACTAAGAGGGACTTCTTCCACCACGGCCAGTGCCATTCTGCGAGGAAAAATGAAACCCTGGTGGAGTGTGGTCCTTTTCCAACCTTCACTTTCACTTATTCCAGTGCAGGATGGATGTGAGCAAAGGCTCAATGGCTACTTCTAATTAGGCCTATTGTTTTAACTGACCAACTTAAAAACTAACCATTGTCTATAGCACTGTAGGCAACAAGATAGTTAGCAAATGAAGCCCTTCTGGGGAAACAAAATCCTAGACGCTCCCACCAAACTAGTTGAGGGGTGCTGACATGTCTCGGGAGCGTGCTCACATCCCAGTTATTGCAGTGAGATACCAGGGGCTTAGTGGGGAGACCTCCCCCATGCCGACGTGTCCCATAAGTGCTAGCGGGGCTGAGATTCTCAGTTACCTCCCCTTGGTATCAGCTTAGTGTCTTGCTTCTGTGCTGAGACAATTTAGAGAAATAATAGAGGGCGTGGCTGGTCCCTTCACTATACAAGGAGGGAGCAGGAAACAGCAACAGGCAAGATTGACCAGACTCAAAGATTGTTTTTTTTTTTTTGTTTGTTTGTTTTGTTTTGTTTTTTGGTTTAATTGCTTTATGTTGATTATCAAGCTCAACCAAACTTATCTTGGTCATGTCAATCAGTCTATGACAACTCAAATCTTTAGTTGATCAATTTGGGAGTGTGGAAAAGTGGCTACTCAGATAGCAAACATGGACCAGTGGAAAGAGGCAAGCACAGCATTTGATCGTCTGCTGGACACTACAGGCCCTCCACTACTGAATGCTTTATTGGTTTTATGTTTTCTATGTGAATGGCCTAAGGAAAGAGACCTTGGTGCTACTGAACATCCTTGCGTGAATCTAGTAGATGGATGGCCTCTTCATTAAACACCAAGGCCAGAGAGTGAGCCATGTTGTGTGTGTGAGTGTGTGTGTTTCCCAGAAGGTATTAATATCCATACTTGATGGCCTTAGAAGAAATGTAATTTCCCCAGTCTTCTTAGTAGGTCCTAAGACTTGTGGATTTTGCCTCTTTGATGAAGAAAGTAGTTAGTACTGGGGGTTCCTTAGTACAGGTTCCAACTTCTAGTCAGACTTTCCACTTTTCATAATAGCTCATGACCAAGGCTTAGCAGTAAACTAATCGCTATGATCTCTTAGTTCCTACCATGAGAATGAGAGGAAATCAGGAAATTCTTTCTAATTTTGTTCTGAGGCAAACAGAAGTGAGCATTTACATTCTCTGCTATCAGTAAATCCCTTTCAGGCCACTAAAAATCCCATCCCCATTGTCAAGACCTTGGGACATCGAACATGTGCTCTGATAGAACTACCCATGGGAAAGGATCTCCCACATCCTGCACTCAGGCTACTGTCACATTAAAAACATCTTTACTGTTCAAGGAAGAAAGCAGGCATGATTTTCAGTCATTGCTGAAAAAAATAAAAGGCCACGGCTGTTTATCTACTGAACAGTTACATCTAGCACAAGTGCAAGACGTTGGGCACCCAGACTCTGGTTGATGAGGGCCTGAGTGCCACTCCTGGCAATAGAGTTACCTGACAGGGTGACAGTGATAAGCACGGGATGAAGTTTAGCATTCATCAACTGACATCCCAATCATACTAGTAGCTTTTCCAATACAGATGGGCAGGATTGGTTAGCTCTGTGAAGGGGGAGCTCAACACATTACTTGAACCTTTCCGTGGGGGACCCTGACGTTGTAACTAGTGCACAGATTATAATCTGGAAAAATCCATGTCTGGGAAAGCACTGGCTTCCTACTTCTGTATTGGGAGAATCATCTAAACAGGCTCAGATAAGGGCACAGATTCAAAAGAATCACCTGTTGTCTTCCACACGTGACATGCGACCGGGGCCATTATTGTCTGAAAGGTACAAGGAATTCCTGGTGTATGAAATGCCTGAGTGTGATCCCTAAGCATCCTGGCATCTCACTTTCAAAAAAGATGACTATGTAGTTGACCCTTCCCACCTCTCAAGTAAAAGTAACAAGAGCAAGTGGTGGAATTGTACAGCTATTGCTGCACCCCCATTCCAGCCAGAGAGCTCAGAGAGTACCCGTCTCCCTGCTTACCATTAAGACCCCGCAACTCCGAGTAGGTCACAAACAACATGGTACCGTGGGCTCTTGAGTTGACCACCCTGGTTGGCCCCTGCCTGGACCCCTGGGACTTGTATTTGCTCTTTCAGTGACATGTGAACCATCCATCTGCTGACTGGAGCTTGTGGCAGGAAATTTGCTTTGGGGCAAGCCAGAGCAGCTAGAGTCGGCTGAAAACATTCATTGTTCATGAAACAGTGATTTGCCCGTTACTATTCTTGGTACTCATGGACCTTAGACTTGTTAAAGAAACTGTAGTCCAAACACGGACTATGCTTTTGATTTTGAGTTAGGTTGACAGAGCTCAAACTTCATGTTTACAACATAGATTTTTCTATAAGGTGTGCAATCACATATACATTTATGAATTAAACAAACATTCTAATGAGTTTAATTTAAAATAATATAAGATAGTTATAGTCATTATACTTACTAGTAAGTATTTCCCCTCCCAATGATCTTTGCTTCTTCAGCTGGATTTGGGAGCTTGACTGTACATTTTGATCTTCTGGTCTCATATTTCTATCTGCTATTTCACTGCTGGCTATATTAGGAGAGAAATTTTAACACATTTTAGAAAAAAACAGATGTGCAAAGCATCCAGATTTCAAGCTGATATAAGCACACTAATATTTTGTCATTTTATAAACTTAGAAAGACCATGATGTCAATGAAGATATGCTGAAAACTGAACAGCTGTAATGTATATTAAAGGTTCATTGACATCTGATGTTTTATATCAGCCTCTGATTTCCTGAGATTATTTGTACGTCAGAGTAAGGTCCAGTCAGGGACCAACTGATGTCACTGATAAGTATTTAAGACCACCAGTGTTTTCTAGCACAGGAGACTGGTTGAGGGACAGATGTGTTTAGTAGGTATCTAGTGAAGAGTATATATGTCTATAGATATACGTGAGATGCACGGTAGATGAAACGGTCTGGGGGACTGTTTGCTTCTGAACCATTCTCATTGTAGTCTAAGAAGCTGCCTGGAGTCTCCTCGTGGATGTGCCCCTGACAAAGAATACAACTGCAGCTTCGTCTCCTCCGTCCGGGTGAAGTCTACAACAAATCCATGAACTACGCCAAGTTTTACCCAAACTCTTGACTTAAGCCTAATAAACAACAACAAATAAAAATCAGACTACACGATGGCCAGTGTTCTTCTGACCTGTTGCAGGGGGGGTGGTGACCCTGGATCAGAGCTACAGTTTGAAGTACAAAGGGAAGACTTGCACTCACATCTTTTGGATGGTGATTTGCAGGCGGCTGCCACTCCCCGGGCCACTGACGTGTGAATGAGGGAGACACGTGACAGCATCTGGGGGTTGCCGAGTGGGTCTCTGCGAGCCCTACACTGCCCACTGCCACAGTCGGCAGTAGTGAATGGGTCCTTGTCAGACATGAAGGGGCTGAAGCACCCAGACTGCTCTCACCCTGACACACACACACACACACACACACACACACACACACACACACACACACACACACCGAGAACTGCTGCATTTAGGATTATGTCAGTGAGCTTGCTGGGCACTTTCACAGCTCAGAAACAGTATCGCCTGTCTCTGGGATAAGAAATGCCTGCTCTCATTGCTGGCTTAAGAAAGTTGTGTTTACCAGCTGCTCTTGGGAGCCCGGTAACAATTGCTTGCTGGTGACTTGACTTTGTCCTGTGGCCGCTGGCCCCGGCCTTGCCTGACACTGTGCTATCAACAGCGGCTGCCACTCAGGTTGAGGGTGGCAGGTGTGAAGTGAGTGACCTTGCGGGCACCCTTGTCAGCATTCCTGCACACACAGGTGACCAGGGTCACTTTGTCTTACGGGGAAAGAGGTACATCTTCCCAAAGGGGATGTCCCAGGAGAAGCGGTGTTTCTGAGAAACAGCAGACGCCCATGGTCCTGACCACATCCTTCTCTGGAACTAGACAAAGGCAATGCCAGGGAGAACTACAGCCTTGTTTTAACACAGCTGGACCATTAATACAGGCCAGAGATGGAGACCTAACACTCATGTGAAATTTGGGGGTAAAACTAGGAATAAATAGGTAATTTCATAGCAAAGAAGACAGCGGCCACATGTTATAAGCTTGCCATTCTAGCAAATGACAGCCACTGGGATTATCTGGTTTCTGGGGCACTTTCATCTGGCTGACAGACAGGAAGCTCTGGAGGCCTTCTGTCCTAGTTAGGGTTACTATTACTATGATGAAACTCCATGAACAAAAGCAAGTAGGGGAGAAAAGGGTTTATGTGGCTTACATTTCCACATTGTAGTCCATTTCTGAATGAAGTCAGGACAGGAACTCAAACAGACCAGGAACCTAGAGTCAGGAGCTAATGCAGAGGCCATGGAGGGTGCTGCTTATTGGCTTACTCCCCATGGCTTGCTCAGCCTGCTTTCTTCTAGAACCCAGGGCCACCAGCCGAGGGATGACACCACCCATCATGGGCTTGGCCTTCCCCCATCAATCATTGATTAAGAAAACACCTTATAGCCTGATCTTATAGACATATTTTCTCAGTTGAGGTTCCCTCCTTTCAGATAACTAGCTAAGGTTAAACTGATATGAAACTAGCTATCACACCCTCCAATAGGCAACTCAGGCATCCCTTCTCCTGAGCCTCTGATGGACTTTTCTATCTCAGTAGACTCTTTGACTGACAGTTGGAATCTATGGAAAGGATCATGGAGCAGCATCCACTGGGTTTGGGATCCACAGTCTCCTGTAATTTCAGAAAATGAAATTTCTGGGAGCAACTGCTGACCAGTGACGGGTCTTGGTGAACACTGGTCCCATAAGGCTTCCAGGAGGGGGCCTTAAGACCAGAAATGTCCAAGAAATCCAAAACACTTTGGTTCTCTAGCCATCTTGATGATTTACACTTCAGGTCACTATACAACATTTCTGTAAATTGTATGTTCATGTGTGTATTTATGAACTAAAGAAGAGGACTGGATGAGATCCATGCTTTAAATTTGAAGTTCACTATAACTTTTATACTTAACAACATCCGTTTTGGAAAATTTTAGCTTCTTTGCCTGGCTTTCAGATTTTAACACTGCGTCTTGAGGTTCAAAACTTTTGTCTGGCATTCCGTTAGGAACTGCATGAAGACATGTGTTTTACCTCTTATTAGAAAACAGATCATTTTTAGTTCTCTATGTTTCAAAGTTATAATAACTGTGTAGCAGAATTTTCTCTCATTTTGATGTTGGTAGGTAAATTACCACAGGATCCAATGTAACAAGAAAACAGTGAAACTATATTTAGTGGTTGTGTGTTGAAGCTCCATTTTACATTCCTAGGTATCTAGTCTCTGTTCTTCTTTAACATCCCTGAGTTAACTATAATTTAGGTTAAAATGTATTAATAAAAACAGAAATGAAAATGCACATGTTCAATGTCCAGAAAAAAAAATCTAGCATACTCTCTTTGTGTTTAGGAAGAAGAATAATTAGAAAATGGAGAGAGAGCAGTGGTTATTTATTTACATTTGTGGTATTGGGGTTAAATCTGGAGACCTGTGTTTGTGAGACAAGCACTGAACAACTGAGCTACAATCCCCAGCCTTCTTTTTGCTTTTTACTTTGAGACAGGGCCTGAGTAGTTGCCCAGGATGGCCTTGAATGGTCTTCCTGCTCCTGCTTCCTACGTGATAGGCATCCAGACCAGCATCACCTGCCTGGCTGAGATAGCCATCTTTTTAAAACCAGCCCAGGACAGAGAGGAGGAATGATGGGGATGGTTACCTACAAAATCAGAGGTCAAGTTAGGAGAAGAAATGAATCTTTTAGTATATTTTTCTATGGATTTTCACTTTGGGGAAAAGTTCAGGTTCTGTATATGTGGGAGACAAAATTCAATTAATAAGTATATGTAGTAGAATGAAAACAGAAAATAATGAAATTAAGTTAATAAGAAAAAACAAAGCAATGACTAAAGGATATAATATTGAACATAAACCCACACTATGGACTGGGGTTGGCAGTTAAGAATTAGTCTTAAAGTCCTTTAGGCTATATTGTTGTTCCAGAAGCATGTGCTGGGCAATTCTAAACTGTGTGATTATGGGGATGGGGCTGCCTTGGCCTCAGAAGCTATAAAACCAAAAGTTTTAGTCTGTTTTTTTGGTTTGAGTCTGTTGGGGCCGAGACACTCACCATGTACCCATGGCCCTCTGTTGTCTTCTGCACTAATGTGTCTGTCCCTTGTAAAGAGCTATTTTGGGGGGCAAAAGAGAATCTCAGCAATGTCTTTTAATAATGCATTAAGTCATGGCTAATTGTTACCTTGAGATTGGTTTGTTGTTTTAAAAGACCAACTGGCACCTGTCTCCGTCCAAATTTCTGAGCATAGAGTAGCCATCCTGAGCCACAGTGTGTGGTTTCTACCATGGATGTCCTCTTGCTCTGTTCCATGGATACATTAAGAAAGCCCTGTGTATCGGGGCATAACTCTTCTAAGCTCACCTGCCATGACCACAGGTCACAGGCAAGTCACCTGTGCCTGCTACCTTGTGGCCTTCACTAGGCACAAAGATTTCCTAGAGGGAACAGCTCCTGGCTAGCTGCTCAAGCACTTGGATGAAACATCATGTGATTTTTTCAACTCCTACATGAACTTGCTGGACATGGGTTCAAAAGCTCTACCTTTGCCTGTGGTCTGGTCTGAACTGGCTGACTTACCTACGTCCCTTCACTCCTGGGTCTTGTGCCACAGTGTTCTGTGTGGTATACCTATGACAGCCATATCTCCAGATCAGAAGAAACAAATAGTAGATGACACCCCAAGAAAAAGTAGTGGTAGACGCACAAAGCCTTTCTAGAAGAAACAGTGTTTGGACAGTGGCAATTGTCGGATACTCTCAGAAGGGAGGGTACTTCAACTGCAAGACAGGGTCCCAGTATCCCACTCTGTTGGCCTCAATATGTGCTGGCAGGTCCCACAGGGCGTTCTTGATGGCTATGTATCCCATTTTCAAGAGTTTCAACTTTGACTGGAACCATAGCCCTTTTTCAACTTCGACCAAGATGTCCATGTACCACACAAGAGCTCCAACCCCCGGACGCTAAGAAAGGGGTGGCATGGGGTCAGTTTTGTTTACAGCTTCTGGTCCTAAGGTGATGGGGGCTTTGCACATTGGGCTTCACCGGGGGTGGTCACCAGCTGTGAGCATGCCTTTGGTACAGTGAGTTTCTAAGACTTGTGTTTTTGAGAGAAAGTCCTGAGGATCATGTTGCCTAGCCAGTCAAAGACTCTGGGACCTGGACAACTTGCTTCCACAATAAGGGAGAGAAGTTGTCTTATCTTAGTAGGGGAGTGGCACTATACAACCTTCCTCAGAGCCTTGGCGGCAGCTACACTGCCCAAGGAGGAGAGAAACATCTGAGACTCGTTACTTCCTCCTTGGGTACCATTTTTGTTTTACATGATGGCCTATGTGCTGGGAAAAAAATATAGGTCCATCCTTTGCTTCTCCCAGGTTGTAGTAGAGAGAGGACAAAAATGTCAAGATCTGTACTCAGAATCAGATTTCTAGTTTTATTCCCGCCACCTTCACTGGTTACCCAGGTAAACTAACTTCCTTGATTATTGTTATTGTTCATGCACATATACAAATGGAGGTCAGATGACAGGTCTGTGGCATTTCCATTTACATGGGATCTGTGATCCAACTGAGATCCTCAGACGTGTGTAGCAACTGCCTTTACTCACTGAAGCACCTCGCCAGTGCTTAGGTGGCTAAAACAAACCCCTCTGCACAACCATGTCAATTGATGCACAGTAGTATAAAGGTCTTAGCAGGCACAGAGTGGAAAAGCAGTTACCATCCAAACAGCACTGTTTGATTGGAGGACACAGGGACCTAACAGCGCTAAGTGGACACCATTCCTGAATGATCTAGGTTCAAAAAGAATCTCTGGCCCTGGTTACTTGACAGTGTGGTCTGGAGATACTTCCACGTCAAGCCCCTGCTTGCGTTCAGCCTCAGGCCCTCAAGCAGTGATTCTCAACCTTCCTAATGCTGCAACCCTTTAATACAGTTCCTCATGTTGTGGTGAACTCCCCACCCCTACCCCACCCCACCATAAAATTATTTTTGTTGCTACTTCATAACTCTAATTTTGCTACTGTTATGAATCTTAATGTAATTTTTTTGGAGATTGAGGTTTGCCAAAGGGGTCGTGACCCACTGGTTGAGAATCACTGCCCTAGAGGACCCTGCCAGAAAAAAGGTCCAGTTGTGGATGGGATTACTCAGATATCTACATTCATTTCCTTCATATGGGCATGTTTCTTGAGACCCACCTGTGAGGTTACCAGAGAGGCTTCTTCATTTCAGGGGCCTGGATGTCCTAAGCAAGGCTTCCTAAGTGGCACCTTCAGCTCTTCGGCTCCCCATTTGTATTTAATTTGCTCACCTCTATAGTGTCTGTATTTGTGACTACAGCCTATGGCAGAAAGCCAACACTCCCCAGGTCAGAGACACCACCACCTCTAGGAACTGTGTGTGTGTGTGTGTGTGTGTGTGTGTGTGTGTGTGTGTGTGTGTGT